ATCTGTAAAACTCTCTTTTTCAAATATAAGAAATTTGGCAAAAGAAGATCTTTTTAGAATGCTGCAGTTACACCTGTAGAGAAACACAAAAGCAGGAGCAGCATGGTGCTGCTGAAAACCACTAAAATAAAAAACACAAGTATTACTGCAGTGGAAAGGGCACGGCAGTAAAAAGTTAAAAATGCCTGATAAGAATTTACAAAACCTGACAATTCCAAGGCAGCTAAAAAAATTACAACCTTTTGTTCTCCCACAACCAAAATAAAAACGTGCTTTTGAGTAACTGAAAGCACCACGAGATTTTTCAACACAGGCAGGAGGATCTGCACTTACCCACTGGGCTGGTACCAGCTCCGTTTGGCACTGAGAGCTCAGTTGTCCCCAGCATTCCACCTGAGCAAAAGAAGAGCATTAAACCAACATGTCCCCTTATGGCATTGGATGACAGGAAGCTGAACATGAGCCAGAGTGTGCCCAGGTGGCCAAGAAGGCCAATGGATCCTGGCCTGGCTCAGGAACAGTGTGGCCAGCAGGACCAGGGAAGTGATTCTGTCCCTGGACTCAGCACTGGTGAGGCCACCCCTGGAGTGCTGTGTCCAGTTCTGGGCCCTCAGCTCAGGAAGGACATTGAGGGGCTGGAGCAGGTCCAGAGAAGAGCAACGAGGCTGGGGAAGGGACTCAAGCACAAGTCCTGTGAGGAGAGGCTGAGGGAGCTGGGGCTGTTCAGCCTGGAGAAGAGGAGGCTCAGGGGAGACCTCCTCACTCTCTACAGCTCCCTGACAGGAGGGGGGAGCCAAGTGGGGGTTGGTCTCTTTTCCCAGGCAATGATCAGCAAGACAAGAAGGCTGGGTCTTAAGCTGTGCCAGGGGAGGTTTGGGTTGGATATTAGGAAGAATTTCTTTACAGAGAGGGTGCTCAGCCATTGGAATGGGCTGCCCAGGGAAGTGGGGGATTCTCCGTCCCTGGAGGTGTTTAAGATCAGACTGGATGTGGCATCAGTGCCATGGGCTGGGAACCACAGCGGGGTTGGATCAAGGGTTGGACTTGATGATCTCAGAGGTCCCTTCCAACCCAGCTGATTCTGTGATTCTGTGATCATTTTGTACTTAAGCTGTGAAAATGCACAGGAATCGCTCAGAACTTGTTACTTGGGGCGTTTGTTCGTGGGTTTTACTCAGAAGAGCAGCAGGGCCGTGAGGGGAACCCGGCGGGCCCTCACCTGCGTTGCCGGCGCTGGGCGGTCTCTGGGGCGCGGCGGGGGACACGTTGCGGTGCAGGGTGCTCGGAGGGGGGGACAGCATGGTCGTGTCCGTCAGGGACGAACTGGCTGCCAGGGACGGGGACACGAGGGAGCTCCCGGGGTTGCTGTAGGTTAAAGTGTTGGGGTTGGACACCGGAACCGTGACCGACATGGAGAAGTTCTGAGCAGGCAAACCGGGCTGGGGGAGACAAGATGAGGAACACAAAGGCAACACCGTTAGCATCGACTGCAGAAACAGCACAGGATAAAAACACACAGTAAAGTTTGCCAAGGAGTAATCAGGTTGTTTTCTTTTTTTAAAAAAACAAGTTAATTATGTTAGTTTTTAAACTCTTTTAAGCAGACAGTTTTAAAACATCCATTTGTTGTAAAGGACGGTGTTAAATTCTTATACATCACATAAATACAGTTCCAAAACTCCTGAAATACTACAAGTTCAAATACAGAAAACTGAGAATATTCATGTGAATTCACAGGCCCATAAATACAACAAATTAACCAGTTAATCTGGATTATTACAAAGCAATGACAAGCTAAACATGTCTACAAATCAATGACTTGTACCTTCCAAATGTAAGCATAAACATGCACGTTACAAAAGTCAGTTATTACACAAAAAAGAGAAAGTTAGTAACATCATTTTCTATTAATAT